AGAGCCCCCGCCGCTGCCGGAGCCCTGAGGGGGCGGGGAGGGGAGAGGCGGGCCCCCCCGCCTCTGAGCGCACTCCGCGCCGCCTTGCCTTCCAGGCGCCCTTCCGCGCTTCCCTTCCCCTCCCGCGACCTGTGTCCCGCTTCCGCGCCCGGTGTCCTGGGGAGGGAAGCGCAGGCCCGGGAACAGCTAGAAGCCATGTTTCCCCCTCCTTCCCAAGTGGATGTCCCAGAGGAGTTCCGTGCCGAGTCCCGTTACCTGGCAGGTGACATCAGCGTGACTGTGTGGCTCCTGCACGCTCACGGCGCCGGGATGGGGGTGCGGGAGGCCGCGGGCTTAGTTGGTGGGGTTTTAAGCTCAAGAATGAGCAAGCTAGCCCTGACCGGTTTGGCTCAGTGGATAGAGCGTCGGCCTGGGGACTCAAGGGTCCCGGGTTCGATTCTGGTCAAGGGCACGGACCTTGGTTGCGGGCACATCCCCAGTGGGGAGTGTGCAGGAGGCGGCTGATCGATGTTTCTAACTCTCTATCCCTCTCCCTTCCTCTCTGTACAAAATCAATAAAATGTATTTTAAAAAAAGAAGAATGAGCAAGCTACCTGTGTCCCCTGCAGAGACCGGTCATTGGAGCATAAAGCCTTCCCAGTTCCCATCCTTCTGTCTTTCTAAGTAGCCAGGTCCAAATCTGGTTTCCCAGAGAGTATGGCAAATTATTCTTCTTACTGACAAGGACAGTCTGAACGTAAAAGAGAGAGAGAGAGAAAAAAAAATCGGATTTGATCTTAACAGGTGCTGATGAGATGAGCCCACCCCATTCCATCTCACTGTTAAGCCAGCCACAGCTATGTTTATAGTAAGTGTTCTTTGCCTGGGATTGTGGGACGTGGAGTTGGTGTTTTTGGTTTTGGCTCTCACTGACCTATTTGGCACTGCAGCCTTTCTGTTCGCCTGTCTCTGGGTGCTTTCTCCCCGCCTTTGTGCTCTGGGACTCAGTTCAGCAAACATGTGAGTTCCAGCTACGTGCCAGGTACAGTGCTGGGCATGAAGGAGATAAAGGAGCAACTCACGATCCACCAGGGATGGAAATTTTGTTTTTAAGCGACCCAGAGCGATCACTTCTCTTAGAAGTCTAATCAACTGAGCAGTTTTATAAAGTGGGTCTCCGAAAGGGGCAGGTGGTGGTGGTGGGGATCCTTGGATATCTTCTTAGGCGTCCACCAGTTTTTATTTTAAAGATTAAATACAAGAGAATACATGTGACTGTGATGGGGTGAGTACCGTGCTATTGGCGCCTGTGCCTCCAGTTGCACCTCCAGTGCGCAGACGGCGTTCCCCTGATTCTGTTGGCCCAAGCGGCTGAGAAAAGAACGGAGATGGACTTAGCATGTGATGCATTCTTACTGGGGAATATAAGAAAATAACAACGATTGAATGTTAACATGAGTCAGGCATAATTATTAACACTTTACATGTATTAATGCATGTAATCATCATGAGCTAGGAATTATTTCAAAACTACAAAATTGTAAGAGGCAGCATGGGAAGGTGGTTAACTATGAATCTTATCTCAGTCGTTGGCTGGTCATGTGGCCTCGGGCAAGTTACTGATTTTGAGCTTCAGGTTGTCCAACCTGTGAAAAATGGTACTCACCGCACAACATTATTGTGAGGATGAAATGAGTTAGTATGTGTAAAGGATTTAAAATACTATTTGTGTTGGGAGTTATTATGGTAATATGGCAATCTGCACTTTCTAGACAAGAAAACCAGGAACTGAGAAATTAGATAACTTGCCCCATGTCACATAGGTAATAAGTGCCCAAACAGAAATATCATGGCCCGTAGTCCTAGAAATATGTTGGACTTGAAAACAAACTAAATAGAAAATGAAACCAGCACCATAACAAACCATACCCCATTCACTTTGAGAGACAATTTAATTTAAGCAAAATACTATAATCTGTCAAGTTAATTTTAAATGTTACTGCTTTTATAGTTTTAAGTGCATTTAATTTACAAAATAATTTTTTGGTTCACAGTTGAATAAAGATCATAAGTAAAATTTTTATTTGTACTCATTAAAAGCATTTTTAAAGGAGATAGGTGTTTCTAATTTTTTCCCCTTCACTACATTTCTCAACTTTGAGAAGCACTAGATTAGTCAGTACTAGCACTTGGAACTCACAATACATTTTTAACCAAGTGTGACCTGTTATCTTGGTCATTGTGAAATAAACTCCGCATATTTTTGAGTGTCTTCCTTCTGTCAATCACTGCCTCTAGAAGTTAAGCAGACTGTAAGTGGGACTTAGAGTCAGAGAATACCCTGCAGTGCCTCTGGACACTTTTAGAACAACTTCTTTTTCTGAGTGAATTCACATGCTAGGTGTTCTGCAGACTGTTAACATGCCTGGAAGTTCCAGATGAAATGAGAAGCTGTTTCCTACATACCCATTTAAATCATAGTTAGTGACAGCTTCCATTTTGCAACATTTAAGAAGAGAAAATTAAAATCACTGAAGAGCACTGAACTGCTTATAACTTGTACATTGACCCATTCTTCTAACTTCTGATATTCTTTTCCTTAAGCACTGAGGAAGCACTATTTTTTCATGACTTGTGTAAAAGTAGCTATGAAACAAGCTGGATAATAACGTTTATTCTACCAGTTTTATTGAGGTATGATAAATGCTGCACATTTAAAGTGTACACATTTTAAAATCAGTTTTTGACAAGTACACATCCATGAAACCATCATTACAGTCCAGATAATGAACAGTTCCATCACCCCACTAGGTTCTTTAAGCCTTTTTATAATCTCACTTCCTCTACCACTGTCTCCAGGCAACCACTGATAGGTTTCTGTCTCTACTGATTAAATTTTTCTATGCTAGAATTTTATATAAGTGGAACCATACAGTAAATTATTCCCTTTTTTTTCATGACTTCTTTCACTTAACATGATTTTGAGGTTCATCTATGCTGTACCAATAGTCTGTTTCTTATTTTCTTCTTTTATTTTCATTGTATGGATATACTGCTATTTGCTTATCTGTTCACTTTGGTGGACATTTCCGTTCCCAGTTTTGGACTATTAAAGGAAGATCCTGCAATAAGTTCCTGTGTAGTGAATAATATTATTTCTAGTATCGTTATGGTTTAGAAAGATTCAGGTCTTCTAATAATTATAGTTTAGAGTTCAAAGAAAACATTAACAAATATATAGTTACCATTAACTCAATTACTGAACAGGTTATGAAACCTCTGTGGGCTTTATTGTCTTCATTTATTAAAAAAATAGCTCTTTAGATATTTTGATTTTTAGGCAGTGATTCATAATCCCAATTTAAGGCCATTTAGTTACAAAGCCTAAAAATAGATACTAGTATGAGAACTTTTAGAAAAGGCACACTTCAATAAATTTACTGTTTCAAAAATATATGTTATAATTAGAAGTCTTTACTTTTAAAATACATTTATAGCTATATATCTGTAATTAAATCTAAATGCATGTATTATTTTTAAAATTTAGACACTTTAAATATTTTATACATGATTTTACTTACATAAACACATGATAGCAACTAATAAGACAAATAGTATTTCAACTACCTAACTTGAATCGTAGATTCCTTAAAACATCTCTTTTGGGGATTCCACTAAATGACTGAAAACCACGCATACCCAAATCTCATGGTTATCTGATGGATTGCTAGAAACAGAAATGTCCAAAAATTTTTTTTGTTTCTCCCTTTTTTTTACTACATATGCTTACCTTCA